ATTGAAATCAAAAAAAGATCTTATATTTATGAGTTATAAATTTTGCATAATATGCACTTTTGAATGTCATAGCAAGGGTTGACGGGTTAATGCAAACAGTATGGACTGGTGTAATATTTATCTCGCAGGATAACTTGTACATTATCATCTGCTTTAACTAGGCGTGCCGATCTGATGTGTTTTTTTAAAAGTTATTCGTCTTAAATTAACCAGTTTTTTTTCTAAATGACGTACTACGGTTTGGTCTTGAAAATAAGTCTTCGGAGTTTGGAAATAACAAATTACAGACTCCTGTAATATTTTACTCCGTGAATGTTAAACAAAGGTACATAGGCCCATTTCCTTTTCCTGTTCTTATGAGCCTACTTCTCAAAAACCCAAATGCACCATCAAAGACGCTTTATCAACGGAAATCTAATCACGCGCTTCGACGTTTACATTGTAACAACAAACTGTAATCAGAGGTAAAGGTTACCCTCAAGAGATAATCACTTTTGTTATCTGAAAAGGAGGTAGGAGTAAATATTTAAGGAAAACTGTTTGCAAGTTTATGTGATAGTAGCTGAAGTACGAATTTCTGGAGCAAAGACTACTCCCATAGGAGTTAAAATGATACTTTGTTAAATTAGAAAAATACAATAATTTAAACATTTTAAGGTTTATTAGTACATCGTTTGGAGGTTGACAAAGTGCTTCCAATGAACAGTAGTATCCTCTTGCGTAAACAACCTACCACCCATTTTTTTAAAAAATCATTCCAACTGTTTTTGGTTGTAAATTCATTGCAGTTAGTTTTATTGTCACGTTTGTTTTGTTACAAATTACGAAGTTATTAAAAAGTGTCCATTAAGGTATTCATAATCTGTCATAAACGCTAATTTCTCAGTTCTGTGGATCAGCGACAAGACAGCGGGCTTACGACGCTATAGATCGGGTTTCATTACCCGTGGTGGGTAGAACGCAGTTAGCCCATTGTCTAGCTTTGCGTTTAACAACAACCCAAATAGATTTAATGTACAGGTCCCCCCCCCCCC